ATTTTCTTCCGTCGCGTCTACACACTATTGGCTGCAAGAAGACACGAGAAAGATGGCCAAGCACGAAATTAAACGAGCCAGTAGTTATCAGGCACTGAGTATAGTTGGCTTAATTAAATCATTAAACTTGAACACGGGGTGTGCGATAGACTTACCTCCATGTGGTGTACCCTGGGCAACGTATACTCATACGACAAAAAAGTCTATAAACCAGCAGTTGACTTCTCACTTCAAACTACCACGACCCCCCTGGATGCCATATTCTACCACTTCCACAGTAATCATCCTACCTTTTCTCTGCCTTTGTGTCAGTCGCTTTTACAACTGAAAACCACTCTTCTGTTCCCCACCCCTCGACTTCCAGTTACTTTGATGTTCCCGCCCCCTGTGAAGCCCGAAGTCAACTAAAGGGCTAATGATTACTATCAAAATGCCTGCCATTTGGAATAAATAAATAATGACTCGAACACTAAGATACAACGCATTAGATGATACCCATTATTTGAACACAATGTAGGAGATAAAACAAAGTGAGGTCTTTGATGCGTTAATTTCAAGACCCCCTGTTGACTCTTGTCCGTTTCACACTCTACTGAACCTGTTAGCTGTTCCTCTCATCTAAGTGCATACTTCTCCCCAATTACCATGGGAAATAATAAAACCAGTAATTATTAGCACTTTACTGCACATTTTATTTAAATCTCTCCACTTTTCATCAATGAAAGTACGGCATGCACCAATGAACTTTGAATTAATTCCATGGTACTTTGGCAGCATTCCAATTTCACTCTTAGACAGGATTGCTTTAGTTCTACATTTAACTACAGGGTATAAATTAGCGGTTTTAAAGGATATTGCCATCAGGTGAATAATACATCAACTGAATGATTTTCGACTCACAATTACGCAAACCAATCACATTCTTTGTAGACGTTGTATAGACTAACAACAAACCCAAGGACAAAAAAGATCACCGCATACGTCACACACTGTTCTACCAAACGACTACTTAGGGCGTCTCGAGGATATCATATCGTTGCCGAAGGGCTCGGAAACACGTACAGGGTCATAATACAGGGGGCTTCCAGTGGCTGAATGCTACATGATCCCGTATCTAAGCTTAACGTTTCTGAATCAAGTTTGATTCGAAATTGAGTTGCCTCCAAACAGCCAATTACAATAGGAGCAGACGCATCATAGTTCAACCCATCTTGTAATGAGATATAAAACAAGTGTTTAGGGATAAATATTTTAAACTAGTATTTGATTGCTTTTCCCCATCAGCAAACATTTTCTTGGAAAGAAAATGATAATGACAAAAGACCCCACTTGAGTCGAGTAGACTAAATCATCTCAAACCGTCAGGCTTTCCGGACGTCTGCACGCCACCATCACCACCGACGGTGGGGTGTATGATGTGATGACTCCCTTTTCAATTTTCAAGGTCAAACCAAAATGCTGGAATTGCTGACCACTGCAGCAGTCAGACGCTGATTGTTGGTTAATTCTTTCGACTACGTTCCTACCAATGAATGCCTGTTCACTGAACTCCCTAGATCTTAATCCGATGGATTATTACGTACTGGCGCTGTAAGCATAACACAAATCACCTGACTGGTACACCATAAACATGTTATTGAACAGAAAAGAGCAATTATCGAGACTCTTACCAGAAAAGGTGAGGAATTAGTTCGTACCGAGTCCCACAGAAGGAATCTTATTGTGGGAGCCGTAGACGCTAATAGAGGTTATTTTGAGTATAACTCTGCCATAACGGCGCAGCCCCCTTGTCTATCAAACGTTCTAAATCAATCACATTTTGCTGTACCTCTCGCTCCTAATTAAATTACCCTGCATCCTGTGCAGTCTCAACTTTGCGCAAAGAAAAGATTTTCAAAGTTATAAAATTGAGGTTGTAAGGGAAACATCTCAAATGTATTACATGTTGAGTAAAAATTTCCTCCTTTTCTAGTGCCAGAATTTGCAATTTGCTTATGTTCTAGAGGCATCATCGAGCTTTCCTTGATTCGCACAAAAGTATACCACAGTCTGTTTTAGACAATAAACATTCAGTATAATTTCTATACCCAATGGTAGTTAGAGTCAGGCTCCATTTGAGTTCAACCAAGCCAAAGTATTCTTAAAGACAAGGAGGCTCTGATTTCCACCTGGCATCCAAAGAAATAGCTCTAGAATGCAGCTACTATATCACCCGGATCAAACTTCCATCCCATTAGATTTAACCACAGATGTTTTACAATTGCTAAAGCCCCTCAAATTCAACTAGGGCTTTTGACAAATACCTAGATACAATATATAGAATTGAAAATCTATTTAAAATTTATTACTTTTACATAAAATTATCTATTTTTGAAACATAAAAATAAAACTGGGCTATGTTTGGGACTGCGATTTAAAGCAATAGTTCGTTTTTAATTGCCGTAGAGGGGAAAAGATAAAACATGGGAGAGAAGTTTTATGTCCAGAGCGAGCTTTTTATGAGGGCCATACAAATTATAAAATGACTAAAAAACGGAAAATTTCATTTTCGAGGATTAATTCAACGAGGATATTTGCAAAAAACAATGGAGAAACTTAATTAATTTGATTTCAAATGGAAGTCAACTGCAAAGTACACCGTGCGTATTGCTCCTTCATGAAACAAGATTGAAGCCTATGTCCAACAAGTCAGAAACAAAGAGTAAGCCTTGCATCTAATTTCCAAACCATTAACAGTGCTTGTCGCTGTCATGCAAAAAATGACCGGTTCGAACCCCGTTCGGTGTGCATGTGCGTATCTCACTAAAGAGGCTCTGTGGTAGCACTGTATATCCAAGACAATATGTAAAAATAGATTTCTGAAATGAGCTTGGAGCCTATAATTCACCCAAAATTACGGGTCTTGACTATTCGCTTGGAAAAAGTCCCCCCAGGCCTAGGACTACCTCCTGGTTTAGGAATCTAAGCAGAGCATATTGAACTTACACATAATTAGACACGAAAAAGCATCTTAATGTTTTCACTAATTTTTTCCCAAAGTAAATGTAATTAAAGCGTGGATGAATTACAGAGCAAAAAGAAGCGAAACGTAAATATTGAATGGTTAAAGTGTTAAGTGAAAATTTTGCAGAAAAGTAAGCCTGTCGAGACGTTAAAGTTACTTCAACTGTTCTGACAGCTAGTCATTTTGGTGACAAGGCGGTTAAACCGCTACCCATCACATTGTCAACCCGCCTCTACTTGTGGACTTCAAACTTCTAACTTTCAAAAGACTGGTGAATAAAAGCACGTTAAATTAACTCTGCAAAACATCAGTATTAAGGCGAAATGAGCACTTTAATGCTAACCCATTTAGGAGAGCTTATTCCCAACACTTAGTGTGGTCAAATGCGTAATGTCATAGAGTGATTTAAATAATGTCATCTTTGCATTAGTCAGTTCGTTTCGCTAGGCATCGAACACATGAGTTTTGACAATGTGGAAGACCACATTTACTGCTATGCAACCAGTATACAACCAAGCCCAATAAATCAAATAATTGTATCTCTTAGCGTAACACACCAAAGTTATACGTCCATTTGTATGGATTGGTATAAGGCTAATAGAATCAGACAGACGATTTTATTGTAGGGTGTTACATTATAGGCTCCACTTACATCCTAGGCGAGATTAGTCCGTGATTTTAAGACAATTTCCGTATCAACGAACACCCAAGATACGGGCCCACAGATGCATGCTCTTCACACAGGTTCAGAAGGACAATGACACAACCTTAAAACTCCCTAGCTGTCCAAGGGTTTTTTGATGCCAGGGTAGCTAAGTAAATACATCCTACTGAACTCAGTCGAACTTTGATTATCCCAGTCAAAGAAGATAATTGCTTCAAGAATTTCATTGGTGATACGAAGCAGAAAGGCCTCAAAGAACTTGGGGGGGGGGGGGGCAAGATTTCCCAAATAAGAATAAATTGAATTTCAGGCTAATAATCAGATGGGCGAATTTTTGACCTTAATATTCATCCAATCAATTAGTAATAAGCACGTACCAATGGCTTATTAAATTATTGATTACTGGCTTTCATACTGACTCATGATTGGTCATTCTTTGATAAACACAAATCTCATTATATTCTTAAAATAAAAATACGTATCACGAGGACAACTGGTACAAGTGCATGAAATTTGTCCATTTCAGACTGCAGTACGACTGCATACGAGTAGTTAAAGTAAGAAAAAGCAGAAGAATTCATATTTTTTGCAAATTTCAATAAGTAAACTGCTAATTTGTTTGAAAGTCAGGATTGAAATTATAAATTAATATAATTTATGTAAAAATGATTACCAGACTGGAAAGTAGTAGAGACGCGTTAAAATCCACACGAGGATGAATGTTGCGAAACAGAACATACAGAGCCGGAACCTTCCAACATATTTCAACATTTTGGCAGCCTAGTAAGACACGGAAAGGAAAAAAACGACATTTGATAAAATTGCGATCAATGGTTGGATCGAGAGTAGGTCAGACCTCACCTCTAACCAAAAGTCGGCAGCGTCATGAAGGAGCATAATCACTGATCCTATTCGGAAGTTGTTTGTTAGAAAAGAAAATACGATCAGAGTGACAGTGAAAACGTGATGCGAGAACATCACAGCAAAATCCTGAATAGAAAAATGTAATAGGCTTTAATAGACTCGCAACAAACAGGGCAGAATTTAACTGCTAGCTGGCAAAGTAAACACACAAAAAACCAATAAAGAAGATAAGAATTAGAAGAAATGAGAGTACCTTGCGCTTCACCTCAACAAATATCCAAATAAGCCCCGTTACGTAGTATGAAAGCTCAATTGTGTAATACCAGAATATACATGGGCTAATAGTGTGGTGTGGGTAATCTCGGAAATAGTAAGTAGTATCGTATAAAAACGGTTCCTAAATAGGATAACATCAGTAGTAGTAGGAATTACTTTAATAACGTACTTTATGCAAACAGTAAATTCCATAACAAAACATGCAAAAGTAGAAAGAGAATTTCCAACTATTTTTCTCTGAATCAATTCATGAAATGAGAGCTTACCCAGATTCAACAAATTTTACAATAACATGAAATTTTGCGGAGTTGCGTTTCCTCCGAAACCAATCGGATATTTGAACTTCACTGATGTCAAATTTTTTTGATAAAATCTAAAATTTGAATAAGTGTAAGAACTTAAATTCTTACCCTAATATCTGATAGAGAAGGCCGTTTATTCTTTAGGTAATATTCTTCAAATTGGGGATTGTGAGGGACTCGTTTTACTTGTCTATATCGCAAACCATTTCTTAATCCGAGAGGGGCAAATACATAACTAAATATTGCCGAATATATTCGAGGAAGTAGCAAATTACTTGCAAAGTAAAATTCGCATAATGCTCAACACGATGCTAACAAATATTCCATACTGGAAATCGGAAAAGAGCGGAGATTCAACGCCTTCCCAGGTCTGATTTGGAGGCAGCCAAAACTTTTCTGACCAAAAATTATACTTCCCAATACTTCCTAGTGGCATTTTAAACTGAAACTGAATTTAAGTAAAAAACCAGTTTATACAAATTATAAAAAGAAAAAACAAGGTTAATAAATGAAAGTTCATACGCAATAAATGAAATACTATCTTAAGTGACAATAGTAACCATCAATACAATGGGCATAGCTAAGAAATAAAATAAATAAGCTGCTGGAATACAATTCAAAATTATTAAAAACGTACATCTTTAGATAATTTGCAATATTACAGTCCTCAAATGCAGTTTACTGCTCGTTAGCGTCTACGTTGCATCAAATCCGATACTATTCTTTATTCAAAATACTCCGTTTACGTAAGGTCATAATCATTTATAAGTATAAACAATCGTTTGATGTTATATCTTTGCCTTACTAATTATACACTTAGATGTGCTATTAATAAATCTTTCGAAATATTTAATATATATGCGTTTACTAAACCAAACTACTGAAACAAATGAAATTAGATTTATTAAGCCTTATTTAAAAAGATATTATTACTATTAATCCTTTTGAGGCTACATTTTTCATTAAAGATTTAATTTTTTATTAATATTATTATTTTGTTTTGAAATTGTAAAGTTAGTTTAACTATTGTTTTGCTGTATTTATTATCACCTTCTTGAGAGATCATTTGTTCGGTATTAAATAACCACACTGCCTATTCAATCAGTCAGCTCATTTTTATTCTAACTAACGGCAATTTAATACAATGAGCACATATCACGGACATTAGTTCTGATTTACTATTTGAAGTAGATATCTTATTTTTCCTATTCACCATTACATAAATCTGAAAATAATAAATCATAAGCTTTAAGGAATGTTCAAAAAGTTACTTAACAAAGTTAAAAGCAATACATCAGATAATTTTGTACGTGGGTTTAAAGCCTATTGTAAAGCGGGTTAGTAGTTTTGGCAAGTTAAATGTGATGTGTCGGCACACTCTGAATTACGATTCAAAGTTTATAACGAACACCTTCATCAATTGTCTTTTCACTATATTTTTTGTAATATTCTGTACTTGCTAATTTTGAATAAAATCTTAGCTTGCCTTTCCATATTCACACAGGGCGATCTTTTCTAAAATTAAATTACTATTAGAACTTTACTCTTTATATTTCTTATTTGTTCCTTTTTTGCCAAAGAGAGTTTTGCCTAGTTTTCTAGTTCATTGAAAATTTTGTTTTCTGCTGACATAAGGCATAAAATTATTGCCATGAAACTTTGAAGCAACCAAATTATAATTTCGCTTAATTCACAACAATCGACAAAGATTACTTCATTTAATTAAATAATTGCTTCATATTTCATAACTTCACGACTATTACGCGAATGTAAGAATGGCTATCACTTCTTGAGTCAAAGTATTCAATAGTACAATCCGTTAATGATTAACATGAGCTATATAAAATTCTTCTAAATCATTGTCATAGTTAGCTAACCGAACTGATAACTGATTAGGACTATTGTTCCGAAGTGGAGGTATAATACTATGGACTAGAACTTAGAAAACTGTTGTGCAATGGAATGGGTTTAGCAAATTCAACTTTTGCAAGATCCCTAATTTATGGAAAGGAAAATCTTTCCTTTTCATTATATTTTTAAGTCTGTTCACTGGCACGCTGAAGTACTATGCATTTTATGACATTCATTGCCTTTCGCACCATGATCTATATAATATAGATGAACCAGAACACAAGTTATTCTAAATGACTCCACGGAGTTGTGTTAAGTTGTAGAAAATATGAATTCATGAAACAAAACAATAATCTTTTTAACTATTTGATAGTTTCAAAATATATTATTCCTTGAAAGCTACTCAGATAAAAGTGTAAAAAAAGCGTTGTTCGAAAACGCAAACTTAAAAGAAAAAGTTAACAATCCATTGAATAAATAAAAAAACATGTTGAAATAGGCCCACAGCAGAAGTCATATATTTCAAACCGATTAATTGTTACACCATAAAACTATACCTTCGATACTTTTACTACTGAACACGAGAGTACAAAGTGTGGCATAGATGGGGAGGATTTGATGGTTTATAACCACGAGTTTAAAAAGTTTTCTCCTCCGTCCTCATTAAGGTCATATAGTGGTGATGCGATGACAGCCTTCTTATTGACAAGGTGACAGTCAAGACATTTTTACTACTGTAAAAGTTCTTAAATAATTTAACTACTCATTTTCTCCTTTCAAACTATTTTTCTTGAGCTATAGTTTTTTATACAAAGTATTTTCAATGCTGTGGGGAAAGTCGTTTTGAAGTAGAAATGATTGAAATATTGGCAATCGTCTTTTAATAAATGTAAATATTGTACCAATTCGCAATGGATGCAGAAAGCAAAGTGAAATTATATCACCTCGACGAGGCTAGTGAATCAGTTATGATTCTAGTCCAATTTAAAGCTTTTTTGGCCACATTTGATAGCAGAATCGGTAAGAAACTTTAGTTAAATAGACGAAGAATTGTCCGCGAAATGATTTATAACACATTACTCTTGAAGATAGTGCAAAATACAAGAGTATAGACCACCTAGAACGAAATGCATTATCCTAATAAGTGATCGAATGTTTTCACCGCTTCAAAGTGGTAATAAATGAATACATTGCAGTTCTTCATTCGCAAACTACAGCTTTTCTCAGCTTTACTCTTCGCTGCAATAGACCAGTCACTTAACAACAACACCACCACGCAGTCCATTAACGATCTTGCCCTTAATGGCCAGGAGGATATTTCACTCTTCGACACATGAATGCACCCTCAATAGACAATACTTCCATTAGCAGAGAGCAAAACGCTTTCTACCTTACTCTCCTTTCTTTTATTTCACCTTAACAAAATGCCAGCCAACATGCCTGCATCATACTAATAATGCTTTACATAGTAACTTATCTGACACTTTCATATTTCTCAAAAATAATTAACCGACCTTAATCCGTTAAATTGTACAGATTACATTCGCAAGCAAGAAATCAGCTAACTGACTAATGTTAACTAACCTAAAGCCTTTATATAAATATAAATATAAACGTATATATATATATATGTATACGTGTGTGTGTGTGTGTGTGTGTGTGTGTTTCTCCTCTTTGTGAAGTCCAAAGTCCACCAAGAGGATAATGATAAATATCATAAAGCCTGTCGTTTGATAGAAAATAAACATTTGTATTACTATCGTCTAGTATTGTAAAGCAGTTTCTGCCGTGCAAATTTGGTGAGAAAAATGAAATTTGAAAAACCTGTTATGAATAACGCAGAACTAACTATACACTGAACTCTTAGTCTGCAGCGAATTTGTTATAATTGGTTGGCAGATTGTGCGAACCTGAAAAAAGGCGCTTCACGTTTGTTAATAAAACAACTTTAAACCTAATTAGCCTGTGGTGATAGTTAGAAGATATTTTGTACTTTTAAACATTCCGTAAACACCGAGCACAGTTGACCAAGATACTACTTCCAGATGTCACTTTCGAATGGTTGAGATCAATGGTGTTTATTAGTCGAATCTTTGCTCTTTAAATCTTTAAAAAAATAAATTGCATTTCAGTTCGACAAGTTAACTAGCAAGGTCTCCGTTGCATGAACATTCATTCTTAAAATGTGTTAAGTTCCTCGATATACCCTGGTTTCATTCGATATCAGCTTATTCTACATTTATATTGTCAGACTAATTAACCTTATCTCGCACAAGATTATATGAAAATATAATTAAAATTGTCGAATATTCCCTGGATGCAATGAAAATGATAAGAGTCCATGGGAATATATATTCCTGAAATCGCCACGTTTTCCAGAGTCGTGATCTTCCTACCATATACACTCAGGGAAGAATAGCGAGTAAGGTGGAAACTAAGCTTCAAGGAACCAAGATAACACTCAGAAATTGGTTAAAGAAGTAGTACAGATATTTGTTCACATGCATGTTGAATAGGCCGAAGTCCTGAGTTTTCTAATTTCATCACTTCGATTTGTTCGAAGTAGGTCTAATGAGATAAAGTAACCCTTTGGAGAAAATTTCGAGGGTGAATCAGATCATATGTACTAATTGTGATTTCGGCTACAATATCAGAAGGACTTGACCGAAGAAGTTGAAGACAAGAGATCAAAGGAGATGGAGGAATGGAAACAGGGAAGATCGGACTAGGATTAGGGGAAAGGTAGCGACTGAGTTTGTACAGGTAAAGTGTTTACAACAGAGTTGAATAAAAGTTTAAAGACAGTTTGACCATTCACCTGAGAAGCTAAGGATAGATACATGGGGGGTGGTGGTGGTGGTGGTGGTAACGTCTGATGACTGTTTCTATATAGCAATTTTGATAGACGTGCTGATGTTTGCATGGCTATAAGATTACAAGTATTTATTTATCTCAAATGGCAGGCGTGTTGATAGTTATCAATAGCAATTAATGACAAAAATTCGAGAAGGGGGACAGAATAATGATTCACAGATGCAAAAGAGACAGACACAAAGACAGAGTAGAGGTAAGATGAGTACTGGGAAAGTGGTTGCATATGACATACAGTGGGGTCATTGTAGTTAGAAGTGAGAAGACAACTGCCGGTTAATAGACTTTTTGCCGTTTGAGTATACGTTGCCCAGGATGCACCACGTAGAGATAAGTCTATTGCACACCTCAGCATCTAGAAGGCTGTCTAGAACATTACCTTCCACTGCAAAGAAGGAGGGATTTGGCGAAAAAGTGTCAGCGATCAACGTAAAGAGAAATTAAAATTTTTTCAGATAAATGATTTTATATTAGCTCAATATTTCCATAATAATTAAAAATAAAAATAATAATAGGAAGAAAATATAAGTACAATGTTACTTTCTTTGAATTTCTTCCTTTAGTATTTTTAATAATTATTTTTTTGCAAATTGATATCAAACCAAATCGGAAATGGCTAGGCATTAATACCTCATGAAAATCAAAAGCCGAAAACACTATTCAGATGAAAACAATTAAAGTCGATCACGAAATGGCGCCACCGTTGATGGATTT